AGTAGCCAGCGGCTTACAATAGTTGATTGGTTGTGAATGATTTTTATTGTTAGTAGCCAGCAGCTTACAATAGTTGATTGGTTGTGAATGATTTTTATTGTTAGTAGCCAGCAGCTTACAATAGTTGATTGATTGTGAATGAGTTTTATTGTTAGTAGCCAGCAGCTTACAATAGTTTATTGGTTGTGAATGATTTTTATTGTTAGTAGTCAGCAGCTTACAACGGTTCATTGGTTGTGAATGAGTTTTATTGTTAGTAGTCAGCAGCTTACAATAGTTCATTGATTGTGAATGAGTTTTATTGTTAGTAGCCAGCAGCTTACAATAGTTCATTGATTGTGAATGAGTTTTATTGTTAGTAAGCAGCAGCTTACAATAGTCCATTGATTGGGAATGAGTTTTATTGTTAGTAGCCAGCAGCTTACAATAGTTGATTGATTGTGAATGAGTTTTATTGTTAGTAGTCAGCAGCTTACAATAGTTCATTGATTGTGAATGATTTTAATTGTTAGTAGCCAGCAACTAGCTTTGCTTATATGGTTTAGCTAGTCAGGACTGTATGGATAGCTGAAAGGTATTTAATGTGTGTAAAATGATCAGACTAGCTATTCGAAGAAAGGCCATGAAATCGAACGAAGGATGTTGTTACAGAAAGGTAAAATACATGTTGAGGAGTAAAAAATATGTTATTCAACATGTAACGAAAACAATAACTTATAATTAAATGTTACATGAAGAAATGCCCTTAGCAGTATTCCAAGAATTAAGAAGTCTTCTAAACAGTATTTCAAGAATTAAGAAGTCTCCTAAACAGTATTCCAAGAATGAAAATGTCTCTTAAACAGTATTCCAAGTGTGATGAATTCTTCTAAGCAGTAATATAAGAATGAAGAAGTCACTTAATCAGTATTCAAAGAATTAAAAAGTCTTCTAATCAGTATTCCAGGAATGAAGAAGTCTGTTAATCAGTATTCCAGGAATGAAGAAGTTTGTTAATCAGTATTCCAGGAATGAAGAAGTTTGTTAATCAGTATTCCAGGAATGAAGAAGTTTGTTAATCAGTATTACAGGAATGAAGAAGTTTGTTAATCAGTATTCCAGGAATGAAGAAGTCTGTTAATCAGTATTCCAGGAATGAAGAAGTTTGTTAATCAGTATTCCAGGAATGAAGAAGTCTGTTAATCAGTATTCCAGGAATTTTGAAGTTGCTTCACGTGGAATGTTACGATGAAACATATCACAAAAGGAAATAGACATATTATACTAATTTTAAAAAATTACTTGGGTCTCGATTAGAATACAATACACATTTTATTACTTGCTCAGATGATACAAATTCTTTAATTGTTTTTATTGGTCATTATATATCAAAGAAAACCTGTTATTTACTGAACTATTTATTAAACATTGAACTTTTTTAATGAAAGATATCTCCGGAAACTAAAATGTATCGACGAGGATCATATCCTGTTCAAGGTATAAGACTTACTTAATGCATTATTTATTAGAAACGACACGAAAATGTGTGATTTAAAACGTAGTTTTTGCTTACTGTAATCTTCCATAACAAACCACGCAAACGCAGTTTCCAGCTTTTTTTGTCGTCAATAAGCCTAAGATTTCCGTAAGCTGCTTATGGTGTCATTTATGTTAGTGTAGTGAAGGTTTTACTGCCATTAGCTTCGAACTGTTTATTGCTTTATGTATTCTAGTTGTCATGTTGTCTAATCGCATCTGTAACAACTATTTGTTTTGTATTCACTTTAGACATCAAATTATGTAATAGTTCATTCAAAATAAAAATACATGTATGTGTCTATTGTTTATTTTAAATTTCGCGCAAAGCTACACGAGGGCTATCTGCGCTAGCCGTCCCTAATTTAGCAGTGTAAGACTAGAGGGAAGATAGCTAGTCATCACCACCCACCGCCAACTCTTGGGCTACTCTTTTACCAACGAATAGTGGGATTGACCGTCACATTATAACGCCCCCACGGCTGAAAGGGCGAGCATGTTTGGTGGGACGGGGATTCGAACCCGCGACCCTCAGATTGCGAGTCGGGCGCCCTAACCACCTGGCCGTGCCGGGTCTATTATGTGTCTATGCCTCTGCTTTAATGTTATCATATATAAAGCCACTCTTTAAATGTGTAAAACTACAAAATACATTTAAGTTATGAGTTTTAGTGACGTTTAGACACGTGTGTTGAACAAAGTGATAACAAAACATATATATATATAATTTTACATGTAACAGTATCGTTAATTCTTGTTTGAAATACTTCGGGTTTTCCAAAAAACTTTACAATTTGAGATTTAAAAGTAAAATCGGAGTTGTTACTATTATATAGTTTTATAAAGGACTTTGTTTAGTTCTTCATTGGTTCAAAGTGTTACCAAACTCTTCTAGGTCAATAGCTCAGATGGTACAAAAAAAAATAAAGTTTATTACATGCTATGTTTACTTAGAGCATTTATATAGTGCTAGATATATATATATATATAAATGTATACTCGATTGATTGATATGAATATTTGATGTAATTGAGTTTACAAAATTATAACCGAACTGAATTTCATTTACTGCTATTGTGATTTGTCAGATGAAACACGACATATAATTGGATAACTTATTACAACAGATATTTTGATTAGCTAAAAGAGGCGAATTTAAATCTTGTACAGAACTTAAATAGTTTGATGATTTTTTCTAGAAGTGTAACGTATAGGTAATTTACTTAGAATATTATTTATTTAGAAATAGAGTTTGTTACATTACCTTTAATTCCTTAGTTTTATTTATTAATAGTTCCCATTATTTAAAAACTTTATTCACACTGCATATAATTATGTCTTCTCTCTTTCTTTTTTTCAGAAAATTATATTTTGGTGGATTTTCGAAGCCATTCGTTCATATAAATGCAAGATTCTCTATGTTTTTATAGACCAATTGAAAATAAGGTTTAAATTCATTGTTACGGAGCAACACCGAATCTAAAAAGGATACAGTTTCGACACTTAAAGTCGAACGTTAAAGTTTGAAAACGACTTGAAAACCTTATTACAGTTGTAGCATAGTAACAGATGTACAACGTTTCGACAGGGTGTACAACGTTTTGACAGAGTTTTGTCATCATTGTATCAACCACAGAAGCCCATCTTTGAGTTGAAAATTGATTTGTCGTTAAATTATCTTTATTTTCGTCGCATAGTATGAGACTGTAAAACGAATGTGACGAAGGCGATGAGATTTCTCTAAAAACGTTTCGTTTACATTGCCTTAAGCAGCGAATGAGGTTGTTGGTGACGTAGTTTCATTGATGCTATAAGTAAGTTGTAGACCATGGTGAACCTTTCTCATCTTAGGCCTACCGATTCTAACCTAATGGACGCTGATATGATTAGGGACGTTTTTGGACCTGATTACCATCGAACGGTACGCGTCGTTATGATTGCAGTAATGATAATCATCTCCGTCTTGGGAAACGTTGTGGTTTGTTGGCAGCTTCTTAACTCTCGCCGGCTTCATCATTCAAAGCCCAAAATCCTATTTCTTAACCTTTCTGTAGCCGACCTGCTAGTCACCATGGTGACCATGACATCGCAGCTAATATGGGAAGTTATGGGTAGATCATGGATAGCCGGAGATGTATTCTGTCGTTTATTCAAGGTACTCCAGACATTTGCCCTTGTTTCATCTACTTACATGTTGGTCGGTATCGCTCTGGATCGTTATTACGTCATAGTTCATCCCCTAAGCTCGTACGTTTCTTCGTGGAAACTTCCCCTGGCGGCTTGGATGGCCTCTTTACTCCCTTCGCTTCCCAATGCTTACATTTTTCGTGAAGTCCAAATCGGGAAAAATCAATATTTATGTAGTTCCCTCTTTTATACCGAGAATTATCCACGGTTTCATCGCCAGCTGTACATGGCTGCTGTGTTTTTAACTGTATTCATCATCCCCTTTTGTCTTCTTGTGGCCTTGTACTCACGAATTTTACTAGAAATAAGGCGACAATCATCAGCAATGAGAAATTGCCACCAAACGGCGTCGGCCCTTCCCCGTGCAAAGGTGAAGACAATGATGATGGCTATGTCTATCTTTGTTGCCTTCATGATTACCAATCTTCCATACGTCATCCAGGAGATGGTGTTGGCTTTTGGAAATCCAGAAACCTTAGACAAGAATACGGTGGCGTTATTTGGTGTCATCTCAGCCAGTAACAGCTCTATCAATCCTTACATATATTTGATCTTTCATTCCAAGCTTGATGCATGGAATCGATTCGCCTCTTCTATAAAAGCTGTCAAAAATAGCAGCATATCCAGGATCCAAGCTTGGCACTCGAGACTTTCGTACAAAAACACCTCGCTTACAAATTCGCGTAACAATACTCGGAATTCTGTTGATGTTCTAAGTTCTCCTCAGGGTGAAAAGTCTGAAGCATTACAGCTTACTGTACTCGTAAAAAATAGTTCATTGCTTGAGAAAGCAAATTACGTTTGAACAATGTCTTAAGTTTCACTTATAATGTTACCATTTGCTACACACACAAATATATATATATATATATATATATATATATATATAAAGTACACTCACACACACACACACACATATATATATAAAGTCTTTTGTCTTTAATGTATACAAGCTTTCTATAAAACTAACATGCCTAAGGAATGATACTTCGTGCTTGTTGATATAATGTATTTATTTCTGCTTTAAATAAACTGATTAATACCAGCTAACAATTTTTTTATTCGGGATTTTAAATAGATAAATAAATTGTATGGATAGTAACTAATCAACAGAAGTGTAAATAATTTAACACATTTGTGTTATTTGTAATCAACAGAAGTGTAAATAATTTAACACATTTGTGTTATTTGTAATCAACAGAAGTGTAAATAATTTAACACATTTGTGTTATTTGTAATCAACAGAAGTGTAAATAATTTAACACATTTGTGTTTTTTGTAATCAACAGAAGTGTAAATAATTTAACACATTTGTGTTTTTTGTAATCAACAGAAGTGTAAATAATTTAACACATTTGTGTTACTTGTAATCAACAGAAGTGTAAATAATTTAACATATTTCTGTTATTTCTTCTACGGAGAACACTGACTTACAGTGCTGTTAACTTTGAGACCCAAGAAAGACACGGAATCCGTTCCTTGGTTAATGTATTCACTAAGGTGCTGTTTACACAGTTTCTATTACTCATTTCCAGCTGAGGACCGAGCAAGCGGACTAGTCCGAGAACGATGTTTATCTTGTCAGGTTTCTGTTACTGAAACTGAAAGTTCGGTGAGCGTTTTTCATGAAAAAATAGATCAGTAGGAAACCCAAACTTATTCAGCAACATCGCGGCTTCAATCTAAAGATATATATACCATAGATAAAGTAATTAATTTTTCACGTACAATTAATTAGATGTATATAAGATGTGAAATGTGTTATGATATCTGAATGTAATCCATATAGACAATGAGTCATTATTTTTTATTTTATGGAGACAGTTGCTAAATATCAGGAAACACTTACAGCTGGTTTCTTTTTTTTTGGCGAATTCCATTTTCCTCCGCTTCTTCTGTTGATCGAGTACCGAGTGTCTCAGCAGGGTAAACATAAGAAAAGGACACAGCTTCATCACCCATCCCAAGAGCAAACTTTAGCATCCTGTTATCCCTCATCTGAATGCAAGTTAGATTTTTCTCTTTTAAATAGTTCGTTTTATCTCCTGTTTCTGATTTCAACACAAGCACTTACTGCCTTGACATAGCAGAGCGTAAGTAATGCTTTTAGATCAGTAAAGAAAAACTAGACTGAACTTTCTACAGCATTTCCTAGTCTCTCATCCTGGTGAGTGAGTTTATAAATCTTAAAGTCCTTGAGTTCATAACAGTCCTTAAAACACTGCGTACATTGGCAGAAAATCATTTATATTGTAACAAAACGAATACAAAGTACGACGAAATCAGAAACAAATGGCGCTACACGTGTGGAATCGAACCCCAGATTTTAGTGTTTTAAGTCTGTAGACTTACCGCTGTTCCACCGGGGGGACGCGAACTTCTGATCAAAAGTCATTAATAATTGACATATGGATTGTTTGTTTTTAATTATGCACAAAACTACACAAGGGCTATCTGTGCTCTGCCCACCACGGGTATCGAAACCCGGTTGCTAGCGTTGTAAGTACGCGGACATACCGCTGTGCCACTGGAGGGGGGGCTAACATATGGAATAAAAAAACGTGGGTGAAAAACATGTTGCCTTAAATGTGTATCTATAACGCACAAAATCAAGTTTCGATACTCGTGATGGACACAGAACAGACAGCCCATTGTGTAACTTAATAAGAAACAAATGTATCAATTAGATACAATTAATTAATTAACTGAATTTGTTTTGTTCAAGTTCTTTTGTTTTTCAAGAATACTCAGAAATATCACGAAAAAAAATTTTGAGGATATATAATTGTGATATTGTTTTCATTTCACCCCAACAAAAAAGAATTTTTTCTATACAAAAAAAATATTATCTATTGGTTTATTATGAATTTCGCGCAAAGCTACACGAGGGCTATCTGCGCTAGCTGTTCCTAATTTAGCAGTGTAAGACTAGAGGGAAGGTAGCTAGTCATCACCACCCACCGCCAACTCTTGGGCTACACTTTTACCAACGAATGGTGGGATTGACCGTCACATTATAACGCCCCGTGTCTGAAAGGGCAAGCATGTTTGGTGGGACGGGGATTCGAACCCGCAACCCTCAGATTGTCCATGAAATATTATTTAAACAATGGTTTGCGAATGAAGTAATGAGAATAGAAATGAGTACTTCTAGAGCGTAAGGATACATTTCAAACACAGTAGACTGGGGGTCTATATTTTGTCTTTACGTTGTGTACATACCCTTGTGTAAACATCTTTTCATATCGTGAATGTATTAGGTCGTCAAGAAATTAATGTTGCGTTTTGGAACACTTTCATTAACCACCCCCTAAAAAACGTACATCACATATAATAGTTAAACGAACCGCCTAAATGTCACGTTAGTGTAGCCTATATAATGTATAAAGTTTAGTATACTCTAATCCCTTATAGTGATGGCACACGACGAGACATACATTCGGCATGTAATGCTGTTTGAATACGAGAAGGGAAACAACGCTTCTGTAGCCACAAAGAAGTTTATGGAAATGTTTTGAACGTTCGTAAGTGTCAACGATGGTTCAGCAAATTTCGTTCAGGTGACTTTAGCCTTAAAATCTGTGATGGCAGGGGCCGATATGTTGGAACTGATACTGATGCTCTGAAGACGCTTGTTAAGTCTAACCCAAATCAACACACTCGTGAAATGACCCTGAAATAGCACGTCTCTCATGAAACAATATGTAAACATCTAAGAAATGTGGGAAAACTCCATAAAGAAGGTGTTTGGGTGCCTCACGAACTCTCCGATGATCATCGTTTTCAACATGTGAAAGTTGCTTCGTCTCT